AAAAAGGATTCTGAACATCCATCTGAAATATAGGCCAGTGCTTGAGAGCAGCAGTGGCAATAACATCCCTCATAGTAGTCAGCTTAGCAACAGTAGAGAATGTATCATGAAAATCTAATCCTTCCTGTTGTGTAAAGCCTTTAGCAACTAGTCTGGCCTTGAATTTTTTTATAGTTCCATCTGCATTGTACTTTATTTTATACACCCATTTGTATCCAATGGGTGTTTTACCAACATGTAAGTCAACTACAGGCCAAGTGTTATTCTGTTCTAATGCCTCAATTTCAAGTTTCATAACTTCAAACCATCTGTCATCCTTACTACCTTGATGAAAAGATGATGGCTCAACATTAATAGAAAAAGAAGTAAGGAAAGTTCTAAAAAGAGGAGAGATGTGAGTATATGAAACAAATTGTTGGATAGGATGAGATGTAGAAGAAGTGGATAGTAGGGGTGGATGAACATAGTCAGTCAACCAAATTGTTGGCTTACTAGTTCTCGCTCACATCCTAGGTGGAGGTAAGTCAGGTGAGGCAGGAGAGTCAGGCTCAACAGAAGTAGTAGGGTCCATGGGAGAAGAGGAGAGCAAGGTGTCTGATGGAATTGACTCTGCAGAAGGAAATAAATTGGTAGTGAATGAAGGACTGTGAGGTTCTTAAGGTGAAGCTGGCAAGTTGGTGATTGGAGATGAAGGTAGTGAGGTATGTGGTGCTAGTGTAGATGAGAATGGCACATGATCTAATGTTGAAGAAGGAGAAAATACATCAAAAATAGCTGCAGGCATTGGTATTGAGGAATTATGTTTTGATGAAAGAAATTTACCTTTTTGGACATTTATAAGGAAATATATTTTCCTTGAAGATAACATCTCGATTGAAAAAGGTTTTCCCAGAGTCAAGGTCATATAGTTTATAGCCTTTCTGTGTAGAAGCATAACCTAGAAGAACAACAAGAATGGATTTTGGTTGGAATTTGTCATGAAAGTCAAGTCTGGTAGCATAACAAAGACATCCTATTGTTCTTAGGTGTTCCAGTTTAGGGGAACAACCATTAAAAAGCTCATAAGGAGTCTTTCCATGTAGGACAGTGCTAGGCAGTCTATTAATGATATAGGTAGCTGCTAGAATGCATTCACCCCACAGTTTTAAAGATAATGCACCTTGAAACCTCAAGGCTCTTCCTACTTCAAGTAGGTGTCTATGCTTCCTTTCTACAACTCTATTTTGTT